CGATGCAACAGGCAAGGTACACCTTGATAACAACCTCTGGACGGCGTACTTCGAGTGCCGCCACGAGGAGCGGCTCTTGTCGACGAACGGCGCCCTGGCACCACGGGGGCGGCACAACTCTGACGGCCGCCGACAGCGGTGGGGAGTCCCCGAGCGCACCCTTCAAGCCGTCCTCGAGCACATTGAGGGCGACAACTCGCCGAGAATGAAGTACTGGCGCTGTCCTTCTCACGCTGGAGCGGCAGCTCGTGGCTGCCGAGGCGCATGGCGACCGTGTCGTCGTCTTCCTCCAGCTCCCACTCCCACTCCTCCGACGCACGAACGCCGCTCTCCTCTGACGAACGGACGCCGCTCGCCGCCCTCAAGGCCGAGCCCCAAGAGATGCAGGTGCGCTGACGCAGCAGCAACTTTGTCATAAAAGAGGGCCGCCGCCGCTGGCCTTCCCCTCCCTGCGGCCACCTTTGCCTGGTCAGGCCGAAGAAGGAGCCCGCGACGCCACCTGTCGTCAAGTAGGAGCACCTCGCCATGGCCGCCAAGGAGAAAACCTGCCTGAAGTGGGCGTGGGACGACCACGTCCGCGAGGAGATCGACGTTCGGCACGTGGCCGCGAGGAGGGTGGCGTCGTCATCCTCGACGACAGGTCGACAGCGACGAGGAGGCGCCGGGACCGTCCAACCCCGTCCGCCACGGCGACCCAGGGCAAGGCTGCAACAAGGACGGACAGCAGCGTGCGGGGCGGCGACGGCGGCGACTACACCAACTTCTAGAAGCTTCTTAGCATGTAGAAGGCTCGGAGTGGCGAGCGCGTAGTTTTAGGGTTTAAATCATGTTTTTTAAAATTATGTCTTTTAAATTATGTACAAATATGAATGAATTTCGTCCTAATTTCATCCAAATTCTTCAAATTTTAGCCGAACTATATTTTTAAAAAGGGTGTCTGGGGGCCAACTTGAGGCGTCGGATGGGAATCCAACCACCCCCACGATGAAAATAACGCCGGCTCACATCCAAGAGGCACTATTTCACTCCGTGGAGGCGCCGAACAGTGAAGATGCTGTTAGTGGTCGGCGTTGGGAGATGCCCTAACCGTCAAGCTGTTGTCCCGGGCAATGAAATCGTGGCCACAGAATATCGGATCATAGTAACGCGGTCCCAGCCCGTTGGCTTCCCTCCCGCCGCAGGTACAACTGGTGGCTGCCATACCACTTCGCCACCTAACATGTGTGGCCTCCCCGCGCCTCCGGATTCTCCTCCCACACTCGTTCGTCCTTAGCGTCCCCTACCTTGCTCCCTGTACTATCGCGCTTGATCTCCCTCCCCTCTTGCTCCTCCCTGTCGTCCTTCCCCGGTCTCCAAACTCCTTCGCATGAAACAGTAAGTGCAGGCGCTGTCCTTCTCATCGCTACTTCCTTTGTGTGGTTTCCTTTGCTAGGCATAGACAGCAATGGATCCTGCATCTGCATGCCATGATAGTCGTTCGTACTGCCGAGCGTGCTGTGTTGCAGGTAGCGTGTGTGATTTGTGTGCCAGTTTCTCGAGTGAGACTGTATTTGTGAGAGGCCAGTGTTGTTTTTGGGGTCTGCTTTGTGAATCACACACTATGTGTTCACTCCCAACAATGTTAAACTAGCGGCTCAAAAGAAAAATGTTAAACTAGAAATATTTTCTCATGGTGTCACAAAGCGTACAACTTCATTCCGTGTGTAGCTGTAATCCCGACAATACTATGCACGTCAGTTATTAGAATAAGAAACTACCAAGTATATACTACCTCCTTTCCATAAAAAGTGTCGCAGTTTTGAACTAACCCCAGTTCAAAACGACCACCTATATTATCCCCCATGTGCCACCTTTGATGCATTTATTAACTGTTTTTTTTTTTACATTTTGTCTAGAAATGATCATCTGTACCTGTATTATGTAGACATAAGTTTGTGCACTGCAAAGTAGACTCTTGGTCTATGTGTATTCATTTGTTTTGACGTGAAACTAATGCCCGTCTTTGACATCAGGTACTGAAATATCAGTTTCAAATTGGCTGAAAATCTGCTAAATGAAGGCATAGGGATTTTGTCAGGCCAAAGGTTCATAATCTGTAGTACACGTACAGATTCAACACATATGGCTAGCCAAATATCTGGTACCATAGCATCTAGTGGGGTGTGCTATAATGATAAACACAGAATGACGTGTAAGCTGAAAGCACTACGCTGTGTAGCATCGAATTGTTTACCACAAGAGGTAGAGGTAAGGAAGTGGATGAACGGATATCATATCATCAGGTCCTTTCCAAACGATAGGCATTGGAAAACGAATGCGAAGTCCAATGGTTACCTACTCCAACAAGGTCTGAATGTTCGGTGCCATTCTTATGGTTCTCGTAGTGGCAGTGAAACTACAGAGTGCAATATTCCTGAAGATGGCAACAATCCTTACAGGTACACACACACACATCCGCACACAAACGAATAATCTGTCAGAATCCATGTACCTTTGTTAGCATGAAAAATAAAGATAATATTGAGTACTTTGTCTGTATTTTGTTTCGTTACACTGAACTCATGCAATACATATTATCGTAAAGCTAACGCCTGCTATCATAATGCTTCGTCCTATTTTTTTGACTTGTAATATTACACTCAGTCAGCTGAAGACTAAGAAACAATTTCAGTGTCAAAGAAGACTTCCTCTAGTTTTATATAGTAGTTTTCATGATTTTCAGAAATGTCTAGTTTCTTCCAACATAAACTGAAGTTCTGTACCAGAATTCTAAAATCATATAAGGTAAACTGCACATGGTCATTAAGCAGATATAGTTCGTCATTTTTAGTTCCATATTCTTAATCTTCTGTTGCAGGGATTTTGATGAGCAAACAAGAGGAATGTCACATTTTTCAGATAGTCAAGTTGCAGCTCAGGAAAAAACACTATATTCTACTCAAGGGCTGTCTGAAGCGTGCCAATTTGTCTACAATGATGCAAAGTTTGTGAATGAAAGAGCTCAGAGTGATATTCTTTTGCTTTCACGGTACTCTTGTTCCCTGTGCATCATTGATATTCCCTCATGTAATTGTTTTCCTTGGTAGAAACAATGTATTTATTTGTATTGCTATTCTGAATTTTGATATCTGAAATCCTTTTACTCTTAGTGGCATCACAAGGTTGAACAAACGTGCATCTAAGGATGTTGCTGTATTAGGGTTGGGGTTTCTCAAGCTTGATGGTACATGCTCTTTCACATAACAAGCTATAAGTTTTTCCGTCCATAAGATTTAATTCCTCATCTAAATGTAAGATTGCCTGAAAGCTCGTGCAAGGAAGGACACCCGAAAGATTGATAACAGTGTGAAGGAACGGGCAGCCCACCTAACCAATTTTGCTAGAGTATGTACTAGATCTGTTCGTATGGAATGTTTCATATGCCATCTATGTATTATATTGGTTTCGTTATACTTCTAATATGTTAATTTGACCTCTGTACATAATCAGATATTGAAGGAGCGAGCTCATTCAGACTTGAAGAAAGCAGCAGATCAACATTGGAGTGATGGTGCTTTGGAGGTAGGTCTGTACAAATTCTTTCTTCACTCATTTTGTAGGAAGTAGTTAATAGACTTAAGTAACATACATTTCTCATTCATACTGTCGATAAAGCTGCACCCATATCTATGTCATTGTAGTACCCGTTTAAATTGCTTAATAACCATGCTAATATGCTATTAGTATGTTACTGTTTAATCCATGGTTTCATGCTGATCTAATACAACAGCTATTTGCAAACCCAGGCAGATCTGCGACGAGCTGACATGGTTGTTCGACGACGTGCCATGGAGGATGCTTTCATGGCTTTAAAGGTAGCTTAATTAAGTGTCCATATAGCTCTAATGTCTTTAAATCCTGTGGGTTTCATCACACAGTGACGTTTAATATCAGAGTAGTAGGGTAAATCCATCAGTGCCCACTGATGCCTCCTTATACTTGCTAATTTTCCTCATTAATCATTATTAGATGTACTAATGACAATATATACTGAAAAATCACAATTAGCTAATGCAACATTGAATGAGATATCTAACATAGTTACAACATACTCCCTCCGTCCCAAAATAAGTGTCTTCAGCTTAGTACAAATTTGTACTAGAGCTAGTACAAAGTTGAGACACTTATTTTGGGACGGAGGAAGTACAAGTTAAATAAAGTGTAATTGGCAATGGATTTTTATTATTTTTTCTTTTCGAAAAGGAGGACATCCCCCGGCCTCTGCATCAGAATAATGCATGCAGCCATTTTATTTAACTGAAGATCCAAAACAAGGTCTTAAGTTGAGTAAAGGCTCACAGAAGGAGCATAAAACGAACAAAGATAAAACAAAAACTGCCACAACCGGCGAAAAATAGGCCCAGATGACTAAACACCTATCCTATTATTGGATCGCCATCCAAACCGGTTGTAGATAACCCATGGTACCGTCTCCCATCGGTTGCACCCAATAGGCAAAAGCTCCCTCGAGTCCGCATGAGTGAGTAACGACCACATACGGATCCATGCAGTGGCTCTATATATAACCTGCAAAAAGTTGATGAAATTTTTCCTATTAAAGATGATATCATTTCTGCAGTTCCATATAGCCCAAAGTAGTGCGCATATCCCTATCCCAATATGTCATGCAGTATTTGATTCCACTCCGGTTAGCCACGTCCCAAATAACGTGTCGATACTAATTGGAGGGCTAACGTTGAAGGCTATATGTATCGTGCGCCAAAGTAGTTTGGCCAGAGGACAATCGAGAAAGAGGTGTTTTATGGTTTCATTCTGATCACAAAAACAACATCGTGAACTACCCACCCATCTTCGCTTGATCAAGTTCTCCTTGGTTAAAATCACTTCCTTGTGTACAAACCACATGAAGATTTTGATTCTTAACGGAACTTTAACCTTCCATATGTGAAGTGATCTTGTTATTGGCCCAGAGTTAATTAAGTCTAAGTACATATATTTCACCGATAACCTACCATTCGTGGATAATTTCCAGTGGATGGTATCTGGCTGGTGAGAGAGTTGAACATCCATCAACCTACGCATCAGATGAAGTCAAGAGAGCCAGCATTCCCCCAATAAGTCCTCCTGAACTGAATGTTTAGTGGAACCGACTGTAATACTGTAGCTGCGTAGGCCTCCTTACGTTGTACAATATTATATAGTGTGGGATACTGTAGGGCTAAAGGCATCCCCCCTAACCATGTGTCTTCCCAGAATCTAGTACCGTTGCCATTACCAACGTTAAACTTCACCCTCTGAAAAAAGGTTTCTTTCGTCTTCATTAACCCCTTCCAGAAAGGCGAGTCATTAGGTCTTAAAGTAACCTGGGCCAATGTCTTAGATTGTAGGTACTTATTACGCAAAATTTGTACCCATGTACCCTCGGTCTCAACAAACAACCTAAATAGCTTTTTGCTAAGTAGGCATCTATTTTTAACCTCTAAGTTGTCAACCCCTAATCCACCTTGGTCTTTGGGTCTGCAAATTATATCCCATCTGGACAATCTGTATTTCGTTTTTACTTCATCACATTGCCAGAAAAAACGAGATCGATAAAAATATAATCTTTTCCGTACCCCAACTGGCACTTCAAAGAAAGATAAGAGTAACATCGGCATACTAGTTAGAACTGAATTTATCAACACTAGCCGGCCCCCATATGACATAAGCTTGCCCTTCCAGCAGCTTAGTTTTTTCTCAAATCGATCTTCAAGGCACTTTCACTCCTTATTCGATAATTTCCGATGGTGAATTGGTATCCCTAGGTACGAGAATGGTAGGGAACCCATTTCACATCCGAATAGTTATCTATACGCTTCTTGTTCTTCTTTGGCCCTCCCAAAACAGAACAATGCACTCTTGTTAAAATTAATTATCAGTCCCGACAATTGTTCAAATAGGCAAAGTACTACTTCATGTTTCTAGCCTTTGCGAGATCATGTTCCATGAATATAATAGTATCATCAGCGTACTGTAGTATGGATACTCCCACATCCACAAGATGCGGAACTAGTCCTCCTACTTGTCCATTCTCCTTAGCCCGACCGATAAGGACTGCCAACATATCTGCTACTATGTTGAACAGAATAGGAGACATCGGGTCTCCCTGTCGTAAGCCCTTGTGCGTCTGAAAATAATGACCTATGTCATCATTCACTTTAATTTCAACACTACCTTCTTGAATGAAGGTGTCGACCTGTTTCCTCCAGGCATCGTCAAACCCCTTCATGCGTAAGGCCTACTGGAGGAAGGGCCATTTGACCTTATCGTACGCTTTCTCAAAATCCACTTTGAAGATAACCCCATCAAGTTTCTTTGAATGGATTTCGTGTAGAGTTTCGTGTAAGACAACCACCCCTTCTAGGATGTGTCTCCCCGGCATGAACGCAGACTGTGTTGGGTGCACCACTGAATTGGCAATCCGCGTCAGCCTGTTCATGGCTACCTTAGTGAAAATTTTGAAACTCACACTGAGTAGGCAAATCGGCCTGAACTGCTCAATGCGCACAGCCTCCTCCTTCTTTGGCAACAACGTTATTGTTCCAAAGTTTAGGTGAAAAAGTTGTAGGTTGCCGTTAAATAATTCATGGAACATAGGCATGAGGTCATCCTTGATGATATGCCAGCATCTCTTATAAAACTCTGCTGGAAAACCATCTGGACCAGGAGCCTTATTGTGTTTCATTTGTGTGACTGCCTCAAACACCTCTTTCTCAGTAAACGGAGCAGACCATATCTCATTCTTGTCTATGCTAAGCTGGGGTACGTCCCCAACCGCGGACTCATTATATACTGAGCCTGCATTCAGGATAAAAATTTAGAATGAAATAACACTAAATCAATTATCTTCAGTTTTGCAAACACGTTGTATAATTTCTCAGCCTTTGCTTACGCAAGCTTGCAGCTTTTACTAAATCAATTAATATGGCATTCTAACACTATCTTACTGTTGAGGGAATAACTAAAGTTATACCGGGGGTCCCACCTAAGTCTTACATAGCAATCCACGTGGCCGGTCAACAAAAAACAAAAGCAGTCAACACAAGTCAGGGAGGTCAACAAAAGTCCAAGCAAGCTACCATGGCTCCAGACAAGCTACCCTGGTCAACAAAAGTCAAAGAAAGTCTTTATGGTCAACAAGTCAAAAGAAGGAGAGCACGTATAAGAACAAGTCAAAGATGAAGGCAAAAGACCAAAGAAGCCCAAAGCCCAAGCAAGAAAGCCTTCATATGGTTGACAAAATCTAACTTCCATGGGCTACAACTCCCCTCCTAGCCCAACTAGGAGCCCATGGACTCATGGACCAAAGATCACCTCGTTCTACCCTCCCACCTCTTTTCAAGCGTAGCATCGGTTATTTGTCAAGGACCCATAGGCTATATAAGCCCCTGCATGGGCATGTAAATCATTCACTCCCACTTGAATAAACTCAAGAGGAGAGTGACTCTCCCACCTTCCTAGAGCCCGACTTGGCCAGAGGACGGGAATCAGAGTCGGAGGGACTTGGTAAGGCTTGGACTACTGGGAGTCATGGAACTTCGAAAGCGGAAACACTAAGTGTTATGTGCGTTGAGCACCACTCTCGACGACTTCCTCATAGAACATAGGTCACGCTCCAACGACGACATGAATGGTTGGCATTGGGCACCGGTGCAAACCCAACCAATGCATGCAGTTTTGATCGCCAACCAGTCAATCAGAGAGGTGGGGACAATGGGAATCTTTCCCTCCACATGACCATTTGACCTAGAACCGCTGATATGGCACGAAGATTTTAGCCCCAGCGCCCAATTGCCGCAATACGGTTAAGGAGGCGCGTAGTGAACCATGCCTCCGTGCAAAATCCGAGCCTTGCAAGCTGTGGGCATTCACACCTAGCCCTGGATTCCAACCGCATGCGTAGATGTGACAGAGTAACGTTGGGTCATTCTCTCTCTCGCAGGAATTTCACACCTAGCCCTAGAAGCGACCTATTTGGGTCTCCCAGGCGGCATTCGGGATTCGGGATTCCAACCGCATGCCTAGATGTGACAGAGTAATGTTTTTTTTCTGAACGGACCAGCTGATGGCTGGCATATATTGATTTCATAGCAGGAAGCAGGCGGGAAAAAACAATAGGTGGTGTTCGATCGAGTGATCAAGGAGGAAAAGAGAAGAAATGAAAAACAAAATTAGCCGGGGGCTAGACTAGCAAGCTAATCCCTCAGGGAGGGTCCCAAAATGGGTGCTCTAGGTGGACTGCTCCTGCTTGGCGCCATAATTCGAAAGTTCTTCTGATGCTCGCCATGGCTTCAGTCAGGTTTGCTATCTTATGTCTGAAGGTGCACTCGTTGCGCTGCTGCCAAATGTCTCCCAGTACCAAGATGATCATTGTCCTGACTCCCTTCTTGTGCTCGGGTCTTGCTCCGTTTAGCATCTCGGCTATGATCTCCACAACTTTGTTCTTGTGCTGCCAAATTGTGGGATGCATGGAATTGCATGCGTTTCCTTGAGCCGTTCTTGCCCAGATTGTAGATGAAAAGGGGCATTGCCAGAACAGGTGTTGCGAGGTTTCCAGATTTCTGAAACAAAGCTGGCAGAAATACTCATTTGGCCATCCTCTTCTCTGGAGCCGGTCATTGCACCGTAATATGTTCTTGAGGAGTAGCCAGACCATAAATTTTAGCTGGGCCGGTGCCCAAACTTGCCAGGGCATCTTTCTGAAGTTAGTCTTGATCATCCCTTGGAATTGGCAGTTGTATGCCGAGCTGGTGGAGAAGGATCCCGAGGCTGTGTGCTTCCACTGAATTGTGTCTCGCACTTGGTTGTTTAGACTTAAGTTTCTCGAGATGAGCCATCTGCTCAGGCGGATCACCTATGACCGTCTCGTGGAAGCGCGGGAACTGCGGCCAGAAGCTTTCAAATTTGAATTGGGCGCGACGGCGGCATCAGGAAGGAGCAGAGGGCAGTGGTCAGAGCACACCGTGGATGCGACCATCAGCATGCTTGAGGGGAACAGGTCTTCCCAGCTGCAGTTGCGGAAGAATTTGTCGATGTTGACGAGCGTCGGGTTCTCGCGAAGCGGTGATTCTTGCACTTAATCTCTTTCAGGCCGGCGTTGTCGATGGCGCGCCTAAACATGCCCATGATCCGGTGGTTCAGATGATGGTTGTTCTTGTCCCTTGCCTCATAAATGAGGTTAAAATCTCCGTTGATGGGCCATGGATCAGATGGTGGGCGGGCCGTTCTAGCTAACTCGGCGAGGAAAGCAGTTTTTCTAGCGTCGTCTGCTGGGCCGTACACAGTCGTGAGCCAGAAGCTTTTGGATTGCCGGAGGAGTGTCACTTTTGCAGTGATCATGAATTTGCCTACAGCATGCGATGCAATGCTGACTAGGTCCCTGTTCCAGTAGATAGTAGCTCCATCGCGGGAGCCGATCGCAGGGAGGAAGACACATTCAGCCAGAGCAGCGCCACCGATTTCCTTGACGATGCTCGGTGACCAGATATCTATCTTAGTTTCCTGCAAGCACATGATTGCTACTTTGTTCGCTGTAACTACCTCGCAGATCGCCGCGCGTTTCGCCGGCTGGTTAAGGTCGCGGACATTCTACGACATGATCGGGTAGAAGCTTTCACTCATTTGGAAACAATGGTTGCTCCGGTGACTGAAAGATTCTAAATGGCCTCAGGCCCAGTACAATCACAACCCAACTAGCAGGGGCACGCCGGCGTCCACCAATAGCGCCCAACTCACGCCGGCGAGAAGCAGTCCACTCTAGTGAAACAGAGGAAAGGAAACCTAACTCTACCCGGCAACACGCCGGCCGCCACCGGAGACTATAACATAGGTGTACTAACATGACTAAATAGTGGCCGCGGCGGCTGCTCCCTCAGGCCCTGCAAGGCCTGCAGCGACGAGGAGGGAGTCCTTGTCGAGACGCGTCAGCTTGGCGATGACGGCGATGTCGTTGTCGGTGAGCGGCTCGTCGAAGCGACGGATGAGAGCGTCCGCGACCTCCTTGGTCATCTTCTCCTTTGGCCCGAGCAGCCCGAGCTCCTTGGCGATGCAGAGGAAGGCACGCTACGAGACCGGCGTCTTGGAGGTGCAGGCGGCCTAACGAGCGCTCTACCTGGTACGAGCCGTAGCCACTCGTGACTTGGATGGTGCAGAAGGGCGGCGTGGAGGGGCGTTGGCGATGATCGGCGCAGGGGCGTCGAGGAACAGGCGGCGAGTGGCTGGGGGAGGGTGCTTTCTTCATTGTCGTTGGCGATCTCGAGCTGGCAGACGCGGGTGGTGACCGCGTCGAGCTACATCTCCATCGTGCAGGCAGCCATGGGGGCGCATCTGTTGAACTGACCGGAGGCCTGGGGGTGGCGGCGAGTGTGGGACCAAACGCGTCCAGTTGTGCCTCTGTCTCGGCGTCCACCATCTGCGTGCCACTGTCGAAGTCCAGGGGAGCTGCAACCGCGGCGTCAGCAGCGGCTTGGACGTCCATCGCCGAGTTGTTGACGATCACCGACGCGAGGATGGTCCGCCTTGCCTCCCTGAAGAAGTCGTCGACCGGGTCCTTCCCTTTGATGCTGTTGCTGGCGTCTTCTGCCGCCCCCGACCCCGACGTCGCCCGTGGCGAACGGGGAGCGGACGGCCGGCGTTGGCGTTGCTGATCGTTGCCTGTTGACGGCCTTCTACCGCCCGTACGGCGGCCGTGCGCGTTCTTGTGGTGGCGCCTGGTAGGAGGGGAGCGACTGCGGTGACGCGGGGCGGGCGCCGGCACCGGCAGGGTCAGCGTGCGTCCCCGGCGCAGCAGGGCGTCCTTCCAGGATTGGCGCCCCCCCCTCCAGCTCCACCCACGTCGTCGTGGTCGCGCCCGCCGCGTGGCAGGCCACAACAGCCTAGGTCGGCCACCGGTGCACGCCCAAGGCGCGGGAGGCGATCTCCTCGCTGGCCGTCCTCGACCTCCATGGTCCAAGAGGCAGGGATCACAGCGAATCGGGGCCGGTCGTCCGTGTCGGAGTCGGACGACGGCAGCCCGCTTTGGGCGGAGTGGGAGGAGCGCGGCGATGGAGGCGTCCAATCTTCGACCCTGTCGACGTGGATGAGCATGGTGTAGTCCGTGGTGCCCAGCGATGGAGCGACGCGCCGGTCGGGCGGCGAGTAGCCCTGCATCTCCTCGACACGCCGCGCGGCAAGACCCCGAGCATGTGCTTGGTGGGGATGTGGGCGACGTCGTTGGTCCAGACCCAGCAGGTGAACGTCTTCGTGTGGCCGCGCTCCTGCGTCCTGCTGTTGAGGCGGTCGACGCGCACCTTCTTCCCGAGGATCTCCTCGATCCCCTCCAAGGACCAGTACTGCATAGGCACCTTTTCGATGATGACCCGGACGTGAAGTTGGAGCGTGTCGAAGGAGGCGTGGTCGTGCTCATGCCACGGCGCGATGTTGAAGACGGCGTCGTCGACCCTGATGGACCCTCGACGGACGGTGTTGATGTGGTGCGTTGGTTGGCTGAAGATGACGAGGTAGTGCTCCGGGTGGTGAACCGTGACGCGGAGCTGGCTCACCGGGACGGCGAGCTGCGCCTCCAGCGCGTGGCCCACCGCCATGGGGGACGTGGCGTTTACGCCGTCGGCCGCGGACATGGTGACGGCATGGTTGCGCAGGAAGAAGATGGCCTGCTCCGTCGCCGGGGAGGACATGGTCAGCGAGTGGCTCTCTCTGGGGCGGCACGAGGGGTCGATGTGGCGCTGCATGGCGGGGGTGACGGTGGGCATGGTGGACGCAGCGGGTGGCGGGAAGCAGATGCGCGAGTGGATTGGCGCCGGCGGAGCAGCTGGACCGGGCCTGCTACTAGCACCTCTGGAGCGTGGGTTTTGGGGGCACTGCTTTTCGATGTGCCCAGGCTGCTCGTAGAGGATGCAGTGGATGGGATCACGGCAGTCAGCGCGGCGGTGCTTCTTGCTGAGGCAGCAGAAGCAACGGCCGTGGAAACGGAAACGGCTTAAGAAGGCCTCGCGAGCGGCGTCCGCATTGAAGCCTCTGCGGTGGTCCGGCCGCTGCACCCCGGGGCGCGCCCCGAAGCCCGGCAGATCAGAGGCAGGGCGCTTGCTCTTCTAGTGGCTGACCTCAGTCCATCCACCGTCCATCCCCGAATCGGAAAACTGGACAGCTGGGGGATGGGGCGACGATGATGGATATAAGGCGCTGGGTAGGGCGCGGCGGTGGCTTGGCCGCGCTTGAAGATGGTGGGGGAGTCGACGCCATAAAGGCCCGCCGAGCTAGTTAGCGCGGGCTCGCTGCTCACAAGCGTTTCTTGGATAGTTGACAGAGTAATGTTGGGTCGCTCTCTCTCTCTCTGTCTTGCAGGAATTTCACACCTAGCCCTGGAGGCGACCTATTTGGGTCTCCCAGGCGGCATTCGGGATTCGGGATTCCAACCACAGGCCTAGATGTGACAGAGTAACGTTGGGTCTCTCTCTCTCTCTCTCTCTCTCTCTCTCTCTCTCTCTCTTGCAGGATTTTTCAACAAGTCCGGGGTGACCTTCCAGCAGGAAGATCATGTTGAACTTGGGGACTATTGACAAGGATATGACACTCGAACACTGCCGGCCAGGCAAGGGACTAGCACGTCATCTTCGAGTGGGTTGTGTCAACCACTCGGGCCCAAGAGCCAGCTGGATGCCGCACCAACTTGAGATGCAAGGCAATGGGAGATCCACACACGCATGACATGGTCCGGCCCGGCCTGGCGGCACGGGCCCACCTTTAGTCTAAACCGAGCCATGTAACCCTAGCTTGACCAGGTATATAAGGAAAGCTAGGGCCTTCTAGGGAGATATCCAAGACACACTAGCCCGTGACCATGAATTTGTAATCCGAGAAACATCTCTCTCCAACGATCTTCTCGATCGGTGACGAGCACTCGAGCAATACAACCTGGGTACATCACTTGTCTGGTGTGCTACCATCTTGATCTGCCACTCTCAGAGCACATCGACAAGTAGCTAGCCAAGAGATTCGCTGTTTATACTTGGCCACTTGGATAATAGTATATGTGATGCCTAGTGACCCTAGTCCATTTATTCCTATTATATACATGATCACAGCTTACTAATATCTTATGATAAAAGAACAAGGCATTTATTGGGCAAAACAATCACTTATTTAGATCTGGATTATACAAACTAATTTAGTCAATTATCCGTACTTGCCAATTATCATGCAGCTATACATTAATGGCATCCTGTTTATTGATCCTTATACTTGAATGTAATATTATAATATTTAATACAGTTTGTTCGGGATATTCATGACATGATGGCAACCAAACTACAATATCAGTAAGTTTTTCTTATGAATTGTAGATGCAAAGTTCCGTAAAGCAAAATAATGTTTAAGGAGTAACTTATCCCTATTGCATATTCACTATGGATTTGTCTTATTTAAACTGTATGTTTACTCGCAAACTTCCAATGGATGGTTCATTTCCCATGCAAATTTGACAAGGTTCATCACACTGGAGAAAAATGGGAAGATTCTTAAGTTGTTCCCTCGTGAAGTTTCTACTGATCAAATCGCTGCCATAGAGGTTGTATGTTCAGTAACTTGTTACTTGTAGCAGCATGGTCGTTGCTTTGCTAACATGTCCTTAATTTTTTTGTTCACAGGATGCATATCTTAATATGGCATCTGCCTTATCTGAGGCTGATGGTATCGACTACACCAATCCTGAGGAGGTGAACCATGTTTAAACTCATATGTAAAACATGAACTTTGCTATATTCATGTTCCAATAATCTTTTTTCTGTTTATGAAGCTTGAATTATTAGTAGCGGCTCTTATTGACCTGGATGCTATGGATGGGAAAAAGAGTGTTTCCTTGATAGTTGAATGTTCAAGTTCTCCAGATGTTAATACCAGGTGCATAGCAGCATTTTGTGACTTTATTTTACTGCATTTTCCTTTCTTTAATCTAATCTGTAACCAGGTGCTATTTGTAGTTTACGTTCATCTTCTCATAATTAGTTATAACTTTTAGACTAATAAGCTCTTGCAGAATCTCATTGAAACACAAATTTGTCCATGCATCAAAATATACAATTTCATTTTGGTCACATCACTAGACTCCCACACATGGGTGCCTTACTTACTCTATACGAGAAAGCCCGCCGAAACTAGTTCTGGAGCTGCTTTTACGGTTACAGCGCAAGTCGTTAGGGTGGCCCGATCTTCATGAATTGGAGGCGGATTTAGGAAGAACATGAGGGAAAACGGGAGGAATCACAAGAAGTACTAGTACTAGTTGATCAGGTAGTACTAAATCTCCATGGAACAAGCGGACAAACGGAGCTTGATCACCTCGTAACTTGAAACCGTGGTGGATGGTGACTTGATTCACGCGTGGGACAGCAGCAACTGCGGCTCGGCGGCTCGCACACGACTTGACAGCGGCGCACCAAAAAACAATCCGCCTTTGATCCGGTAAACGAGAGTAGGCTGGATTTCTGCAGCGGTGCAAAGCGAATCTTCCAGTCGGTCTCGGCGAGAGTAAATTGCTGAAAACCACCACATTTGTGGCACGAATACTGCAAAACCACCACTTTTGTCGAAAATTTCAAAAAACCACCACTTCCTCAGCAAGTGAGTAACAAAAAGCACTAAACGTGCCGTGAGCCGCGACTAAGTGAAAAACTGACATGCTTGGCCCACATGTCAGGCTGACTTGGCAAAGAATAAACACGTAGAGAGGTGACTAGGCTCTGGCATTTCGTCGAGTACTTCGTGTGCACGCACAACACCTACTCCGTCGGTCCAGCTCTTCTCCGGCGATGCTGCCCCTCCGTCTGCACCCCGACGAGCTCCGCCCCTCCTCTGCGCGCGGCGAGCCGGTCCCCTCTCACCAGGCCGCCCCACTCACTAGCACGTCCACCGCGGAGAAGAGTCGACGTGTGTCGTCGGTGTCGGCTGTCGCGCGCCACCAGCACGCCGCCGGCGCCGGAGCCTGCAAAGAAGTCCGCTTAGCCGCGCCTTGGGGTTCCCGGTGCGCCGTCGCCACCAGCTTCCTCGCCTCTGGCTCCTGTGGCTCTTGTGCCGGCGCTCACGAGGAAGACACGGAGAGAGTCGACGCGCGTCGTCGGTGTCCCGCGCCACCAGCACGCCGCCGGCGCCGGAGCCTGCGAAGAAGTCTGCTAGCCGCGCCTTGGGGTTCCCGGTGCGCCGTCGCCACCAGCGTTGCCACGGCGAGCAGCACACCTTCCCCGCCTCTGGCTCCCGTGGCTCTCGTGCCGGTGCTCGCGAGGAAGACAGGGATGGGAGAGGTTGCCTGTGGCGTGAGGTGAAGGAGCTCGCCTCTGGCCATGGCCAGCAGCAGTGGCTGCCGTAGCGGGGCGGGGCATCGAGGCCAGGAGGAGCTCGCCCGACCTCAGCTTGCCGGCGCTACGATCCCACCGGATCTAGGAGAAATGGGGGAGGCAGGGCGTGGCGCCACCGGCGGTGTGGAGCTCCGGCACCGGCGGGCGGCTTCTGCCGGACCAGGAGAAGGAGGGGAGCAAGGCGGGCGCGGCCTGCTTCTCTCTGCCCCGGCCATGGCGGGGCGGCTGTGATTCCTCTTTAGCGAGAAGGAGAGGATAGAGGAGACAAGATGTGTGGTTGACAGGTGGGACCCCGTCCACCTCAGCAGGTCAAACATTGACTAGGATTAGTCTTTGCCACATCAGCCCGGATAGATGGGTCCCACACGTCAGCTTTGCTGTTAGATGCGTTCAATTCCAAATCAGTGTGATTTGTTACTCACTTGCCGCGAAAGTGGTGGTTTTTTGTGATTTCTGGCAAAAGTAGTGGTTTTGCAGTATTCGTGCCACAAATGTGGTGGCTTTCAGCAATTTACTCTCTCGGCGACTTGCAGCGGGCGGCGGCGCACACGACGAGCAACCCTAATTCTCTCGTCTCATTCTCGTATCTGAACCTTGCTTTGTATACCACTTGTTAGATAAAGCGGGAATAAACGAGACACAAGAGCACATGGATTTTTACGTGGAAACCCTTGCGGGAGAAAACCATGGACGCACGAAGGCGTAATCACTATGTTGGAGGAGTATTACAAGCACGAGACGACAGACCGTCGTTAGGTGCGACTACATGGGGTATATATGAGGGCAATACATGAGAGTCCTTGGAGGACAAGTAAGCAAGTTGTACTCGTATGCGTCGGTACAACCGCAAAGGCCCACACTGTCTGTACTACGTCTAGTCCAATACGGTAGAATTTGGATAATTTAACAGTGTGCTCTACCTTGATAGTGCCGGTGTCACTATGCCACTAGAGCTTGTCTGGTTGAGGACGGCACTTGTACTCGAAATACAACTTGGAGCAAAGTTCTTCACTTGCCAAGCTGTGGCAACTACCACCATCAATGATCACTTTGGTTGTTCTTCCATTGGTGCCGGCCTTGGTATGGAAGACGTGACATCGTATATCATTATCATCTTGTTGTTCAAGAATTAAGATCTTGGAGACAAGGAGAGCTGGGCTCGAATCATTCTCACAAAAGACATGAACATCTTTGGCTTTGTTTACTTGTTGATGTTGAGCAACACGTTGCAAAGCTTCCAATTGTCCTTCACTCATAGATTCGTATTCTTCATCTTCATTGATCACCACAATGCGCTTGGTGGGCACACATAGCACTTCTGCCCACGGCCTTTGCATGTGAAGCACTCAATTTGGCTTGTTTTGTCAGTAGAGTCCCTTGGAGCACTTGCACTTGGTGTAGTTCCAGGCTTGGAAGAACTTGTAGGAGGGCGACTTGAAGAAGTCGTCGGTGCTTTGCAGCTTGAAGGAGCACCAATAGAGGGTGTAGCTCGAGTATAAGGCGCCATGCTTGGTTTTGCCTGAGAGTTGATGTCATCTTGGACTTGACATTCCTCCTTTGTTGCTTGGTGTACCAACTCAGGCAAGTTGTTGTAGGGTTGAAAGCCCGCAATTTTCTTGATGAGGTGATTAGGGTGCCATTGTTTGCTCATCAAACTCCTTGACATTAGTGTGGATCATTGCTATTTCCATCTCCTTGTGGTACTCTTCAATGGTCTTGGTCCCTTGCTTGAGAACTTGGAGCTTCTTGAAGAGGTCGCGTCTATAGTGTGTGGGCACAAATCTTGCTCTCATGACCTATGTTTTTAAGGCGACGCCTTACCGCCTTAGGGAGGGGGGGCGCTTTGGCGCCTAGGCGACGCCTAGGCGGGCGCTTTGGACGCCTAGGCGCCCAAAGCGGTCGATTTTCCAAAGCGGAGGGGGAGCGCTTTGACGCCTAGGCGTCGCCTAGGCGTCGCCTTAGGGACGCTTCTTCGCATCCCAAGTGGCAATGGGGGTTTCTCTTTTCTCTTGTCGAAGTTCTTGTACTTGTCCCACCATATGAGTGCATTCTCGTCGAACTCGAGGGAGGCCATGGCAATCGCCTTCGGCTTGTCGAAGTCGTGGACTCGAAGATCTTGTCCACCTTGAGGGCCCATGATATGTATTCCTCGGGTCAATGCTGCCGGATAACTTAGTCATTGTGAACTTGAGCTTGCCAAGACTTTCCTCTGCTTCATGATGGTTGCGAGGTTAACGTTGTTCTTGTTATGGAGACGGTGGTTTTTCTTCATGCTCTTCATTGTGCAGTTGGCCATCAATGCAAGGTGCATTGCCCATGCATCGCATCTTGTGTCGTTGCTCAAGGCAAAGCTTCGCCCTCTTGTCTGCTTCTCTTGCTTGATGGATGTGCTCTTCATATTCGTGTTTTTGAGCACGAAGAGCTTGATGCACTTGATTTTCTTGATTGGCTTGACGAGCTTCTTCTCGGTGGTGCGCATTGCGTTCTTCATCCTGTAGGTGACACTCTTCTTGTTGATGGCGCCTTTATTCTTCGTGACGCATTTGGCATTCACGGTTTTTATTCACACGTTGCTCTTGAGTTTCACAGTGTCCTCGTTCACGTTCTAGGATTCGGTCTTGTAGTCTGTTGCCGCGAGGAGGGTTTGGAGCACGGGAGGGCTATGAGGTCTTCCTGGTCATGGTGAGACGGGTTTGAACTTGAGCCGTATGGTAGCTCGGAGTGAGCCTTTTCTTTGTATGGATCTACAAATAGCAATTAAAATGAATAAGTAGATTGCTGGAATTACTGCAGGAAAGGACAGAGTTTACTAGTTGACTCACAAATTCAAATTCATCCCAATTCCTCTCACAATTGGATAAAGAAGAACAAAGATTAACAATATGATTTGCGAACCTTTGTAGCTCAGTGGCCCGACCACTGAGCTGTGTTGTGTTCTCTACTATTTTTGTGTTATATGTTGAAATAGCAATTATTTTCGTTTGCTCCTTGTAGGAAAGCTTTGGCTAATGCATTGGCTGCAGCTCCATCCATGTGGACCCTAGGGAATGCTGGGATGGGCGCATTACAGGTTAGCATAAATCCCTCATCTGTTATAAAAAAGGAGAACCATATAACTGTTGGGTTCTTCATGTCTGAATTTCTTATACGTGGCTTGAACCACTGAGATCCCTAATCAATCTGTGCTGTGTTACTCTGTCAGATTGTAAATAGGTGATGTTCTGGACATTTGGCACGACATGCAATTTTGAGTAAATTTACTTTTTTTTCCCGAAGAAAACACAAAACATGCATCTCGAGGCATTTGATAGAAACACTAGAGTTACAACTTTACAAGTCTATATGACTAGACCAAAACAACAGCTACTCAAATTAATGTGGGCATGTGAATCAGAGGCTAATCTAATACTCCTTCCGACCCATATTACTTGTCGCTGGTTTAGTACAGTAATATGGATCCAAGGGAGTAGAATATTTATGCCCCCGTCGCAACCGATAGGCAATTATCTAGTTCTCTTTTAAGATGTCATCTATTCTTACGCTTCTCCACCATGAAAGCTTCAAGTCATTGGATCTATTTGTACCTATTTGTACGCTTTTCCACCATCAAAGCCCCATCCCTTTCAAAGGGAGGCCCTGTCTATATAATTCTCACTTATCATTACATGAGCTGTAGTTATTGGTTTTACTTTGGAAAGTCAAGTTGTTTTTGTGTTTTCCTTTAAATATCGAAAATGATAAGTACCTGACGTCAGGTACGAGCACATGGCAAATCAAACGTTTTCGATGGCAATTCTAGTGATGCAAGGATGGCAAGTTAGTTGACACACAATTTTCTGTTAAAAAATAAACTGAAGCACGAAGTTGGCATGCCAACTAAAGTTGCTATCCTCGTGTCACTAAACTTGCCACCGAAATCGTTTGATTTGCCATGTGCTCGTACCTGACGTTCGGTGTTATCAGATTCCTTAAGTATTGGTCGACCCTTCTTTTAACTGCAGAGATTGGCTCAAGATTCCAATCCCGCTGTAGCTAGCTCTGCAGCAAGAGCCATTGGCGAACTCAGAAAGCAGTGGGAGCTTGAAGAGGGTGACAGTCTGAGGTTTGTCATGAACCAAAACTTGATTTCCGAAGAGACTGACAGCGAGAGTTGAGTAGCAGATGATATCACCACGTGAGGTGTAAATCAGATGAATGACTCAACACGTACAGACTGTAATAGGAACCGAAAAACGTGTAACTGAGTCGACTGCATTTCTCTGTGTTACGTCGCAGCATAAAATGTGCTGCTTGTTAACTACCTCACGAGAAGGCATGTCAAGGTACCTGGTAAGTGCTAAACAAATGTGAAGTGGTGTAATGCGAACTCATTTCCTCCGACCCAATTATTATATACTCCCTACGTCCCATAATATAAGAGCGCATTTCCTCCAACCCATTATTATATACTCCTTACGTCCCATAATATAAAACGCTCTTATATTATGGGAATGAATTTGGCTAGAGGTCTTGCAAAGTCATCCTTTTTATTTATGTTTGCAATTTCTTTTGAGAGAAAAAATAGGACTCTGCTGCATTTTTTATTGATTTTTAAATAAATGGTACAAACTATATTTACAAAACCAAAAAAACTTATAAAGAAAAAGCTTTTGCGAAGGAAACAATATTTTTCTTGAAAAGTAAGATTACTCTGGCCTCTGCATCAAAATGGCAATGTAGTTCGATACAAGTTCGCAAATTGAGCTAAAATAAAATAAAAGCCACAATCGGCAATAGGACAAGATGACTATGCAGCTATCTTGTTGGACTGCATTCAAACCGGCTATAGGTATCCCGTGGTATCGTCTCAATGGTTACGCTCATAAGCCATATGCTCCTTGTCTTCTGCACGCACGGCTGAGTAACGACCACGTATGAATCTAGCCAGTTGCCCGGTAGATGACCTGCAAATTTTTTGTGATGTTTTGTTTATTAAAAGTAGTGTCATCTTGACAATTTGATATAGTCCAAAGTAATGCATACATTTCGACTCGAATATGCGCCGATGTTTTGGGCTCTACCCCATTTAGCCAAGTCCCCAATAAAGTGTCAATGCTATTAGGAGGACGGACATTAACGGCCACATGTATTGTACGCCACAGTAAGTTGGCTAGTGGGCATTTCAGAAAAAGATTGGGTGGATTCATCTTGATCACAGAAACAACAATGTTTACTACCCTCCCAACTATGCTTCGTCAAGTTGTCCTTAGTCAAGATCAATTCCTTGTGAATAAACCACGTAAAGACCTTTATTTTTAAATTCACTTTAATTTTCCAAATGTGAAGCGACTTTGGGATTGGACCAGTGTTTATAAAACCTATATACATAGATTTCATGGAGAATATCTCTGACACCAAAAGTTTATAGTGTAGTGTATCGGGCTCATCAAAAAGGTTAACATCCATCAACCTAGGCACAAGATGTAGCCATCTATCCCATTGTTTCCCCACTAGGGATCTCCTGAACTGAATTTTTGAGGGAATTGATCCTGATACTGTACTTACGAAAGTGTCCTTACATTGTATAATATAAGGGTTGGATATTGTATGGCCAGTAGCCTCGCACCTAGCCATGTATCTTCCCAAAACCTAGTAGTATTAGTGTTCACTACAAAGAATTTGGTTCTATTGAAAGATGCAACCTTTGTTCGCATCAACTCCTTACAAAAAGGTGAATCATTCGGCTGCGCCATTACTTGTGCGAGGGTCTTGGATTGCAAATACTTTTTACGCAATAATTGTATCCACACACCCTCCTCTACTGATAGGTTGTATAGCCATTTACTGAGCAGGCATATGTTCTTTGCCTCAAGGTTTTCAATCCCTAAACCCCCTTGGTCCTTCAGCCTACAAATTATATCCCACTTGGCCAAACTTTATTTGGATTTAGTCTCATCGCTTTGCCAGAAAAAACATGATTAATAAAAGTCCAACCTTTTTCGTACCCCCACAGGTACTTCAAAGAAGGACAATAGGAACATCGACATACTTGTAAGCACGAAATTTATCTGAACTGACCTACCTCCATAAGACATAACCTTGCCCTTTCAGCGGCTTAGTTTCTTCTCAAATCGATCCTCTATGCACTTTCATTCTTTGTTGGTTAGTTTTCGGTGATGAATTGGGATTCTCATATAACTAAACGGAAGAGACCCCAAAATCACATGCAAACAAATGTCTATAATTTTCCTATTCTTCCTTGGCGCGCCCAATGCATAACAGTTCGCTCTTGTTAAAATTGATCTACAAACCTGACAGTTGTTTGAAAAGACACAAAACCAGTTTCAAATTTGTAGCCTTTGCCAAATCATGTTCAATGAAAATAACTGTATCATATGCGTATTTTAGTATGGACACCCCACCATCTACAAGATGAGGGATGAGCCCACCCACCTGACCATCCTCTTTGGCTCGACCAATGAGAACCGCCAGCATATCATCCAACAATATTAAACAGGTAGGAGACATCTGATCCCACCGTCATAGTCCCTTTTGTGTCTGGAAATAATGGCATATGTCATCATTTACCTTGATCCCTATGCTGCCTTTTTGTAGAAAGGATTCGACCTGCTTCCTCCAAGCCGCATCAAAACCCTTCATACGCAAAACTTGTTACAAAAATGGCCATTTAACTTTATCATATGCCTTCTTGAAGTCCAGTTTGAAGACAACTCCATCTAGTTTGGTATGAATTTCATGTAAGGTTTCATGTAGAACAACCACACCCTCCAGGATAAGTCGTCCTGTCATAAAAGTCGTCTGTGTCGGGTGCACCACAGTATGTGCAATCTGTGTGAAATGATTAGTACCAACTTTTGTAAAGATTTGAAAGCTCACATTAAGCAGACACATCGGTCTGGAATACTGTAGCGACCCAACCCAAATGGATCGGAGTCTCTGTACTTAAGTGTCATCCCTAGATCGGTATGCTAGCACATACACAATACTTAATGAAAAATAATAGAGTTCAGTCACACACTTTATTACATCGAGATCCTCAAAAGAGTATTTATTACATAAATATGGTTGAAGGCCATCTAAATAAAATAACCGCAGAAGCATCGAAGGTAGATGAGTCCATCAAACTCCATGGCAAATGCGGAGTGCGGACAACAACCTATCGCACCTTAATCCTCGTCGGAAAACTCTGCAACATGTGACTTTGTAGCCATGTAGGTCGGCTCATGGAATATGCTGGCAAAGTCACACTATAGAATAATAATGAAATTTCTACCTCTATATGCAATATGGCTGGTGGAGGCTCTAAGTTTATTTTTGCGTAGAGCTAATTTCTTCCTACATGAAAATTATTTAAATTATTACTACAAAGTTTATGTCGTTATTGAGATGGTTCCTCCAATTCAAACCAAAACCCAAGTTATTAATAACCCAATTCATTAATTAAAAATATGGTGATGAGATCACTCAATAATTCCACTTCTAGACGGTCAAATTGTCCATAACCTAGGACATGGCTAATTATGATTAGTTTTTACACTCTGCATGGATTTGCGCACTTTTCCCCACAAGACTCGACCATCTTCATGATCGGACCATGATGCCTAATCGGCTGGAGGATACACAATCCTCAAGTGTAACAAGTCTTCAGGTCACGCAGACAGAAAGACTTCAGTGATGCCTAACACTCTTTGGCTCTGGATGTTTTGGGCTTTGTCCTCGCAAGGATCTCTCTCTCTCTCTCAAAGGCTTCCGAGGTGGGTTGCTCTCAAACGACAAAAGCCGTGCACTAACTCTGAGTAGCCACCAATTTATAGTGTAGGGGTGGGCTATTTATAGCCAGGAGGCAACCCAACATGATATGTCCGAAATGACCCTGGGTCACTAAGGAACCGACATGTGTCCAATGATCGGATTTCAAACACACGCGTTAGCTTGGCTTGGGCTACAAGCAAAGCTGACTCATCCAACTCTGGATAAGATTTTCTCTCATTGTCTTCACTCGAGGACATAGGATCTTGGTTGAGCATCACGTCAGTCTTCTGACTTTGTTCACTTTGACCCCACTTAACAGTTCGGTGGTTCCTATGATTCAATAAAGAAGAAAAGGAATCTATGGAAGAAACTATGTCTTCGTACTCCATAGTCTTCAAGTGAATGTCTTCACACGTCATTATCTTCAACGTGAATGTCTTCACGAACCACCATTGTATTCAATGTCTTCATACATTTTTAGGGGTCATCTCTGGTAGGTAAACCGAATCAATGAGGGACCACTACCTGTGTTATCCTGCAATTCTCACAAACACATTAGTTCATCAAGCATGTTTGTCTTTAATACTCCAAAACCAACTAGGGTTGGCACTAGATGCACTTACAATCTCCCCCTTTTGGTGATTGATGACAAACTGGTTGAAGTGTTCACGGGGATAAAATTATGTGAAAGTTAAAGAACGTGGGCATTGGCTTCATAAGTTGAAAGAGGCTCCCCCTGAAGATGTGCATATAAATATTTTGCCTATGAATGCAAATGCACATGGCAAGTTTTGCTTTGTGGAGATCTTCTTCAATTCATGAAGACGATTCATGATGCATACACAAATGTAATGAAGATAATGAAATGCATAATGAGAAATGGGCGTCTGCAGAATGACTTTATGTCACATCCCTAGCTTCTAGTGTTGCCTAGTGTTTGCATATTGCTTGCATCATGTTTAACTTTCATGGAAATTTTAAATAGGGATGTTCAAACCCTAGCATAAAAAGGAATTAAAATAGGTTCAACTAAAATATTTTCAGTGAACCCAAATGGCCTTAAAAATGTTCATCATTTTTGGAAAAACATTGTAAACAGTAACCAGAGGTGATGCACATTTTTCCATGACATTTTGGATTTTTGAATTAATTCAAAAATATTTGAATTGGAGCTATTTAAATGCTATATATATTTTAGATGCTCGAAAAATGTTGGAAATTAGTAAGGGTCACTGGAATAATTCGGAAGGCACCCATAATTATTTCCAGGATTTACTTAAATGGTTTAGTATTTATTTTAAACGAGCACATACAAAAAAAGTAAAAGGAAACAGAAATGGGAAAAATCTTTACCTTGACTTACCTGCCTGGCAGCCCAGTAGGCGCTCGCCGCACGCGCGCA